TGTGTTATTACAGTACGTGCACGCTCCCTGTATGTGTTATTAAAGTACGTGCACGCTCTCTGTATGTGTTATTACAGTACGTGCACGCTCCCTGTATGTGTTATTAAAGTACGTGCACGCTCTCTGTATGTGTTATTACAGTACGTGCACGCTCTCTGTATGTGTGTTATTACAGTACGTGCACGCTCTCTGTATGTGTTATTACAGTACGTGCACGCTCTCTGTATGTGTTATTACAGCACGTGCACGCTCTCTGTATGTGTGTTATTACAGTACGTGCACGCTCTCTGTATGTGTGTTATTACAGTACGTGCACGCTCCCTGTATGTGTTATTACAGTACGTGCACGCTCCCTGTATGTGTGTTATTACAGTACGTGCACGCTCTCTGTATGTGTGTTATTACAGTACGTGCACGCTCCCTGTATGTGTGTTATTACAGCACGTGCACGTTCTGTGTGTTATTGCTGAACTCTCAGTGAGCCGGTCACTGACAGGTTTAAACATAAACTTTAAAGATATTTACATCAGGATGTATTTATGATATTTCAGGAAGTAAACCTTGTATTTTCACAATAAAATATGTTTTTGTTCTACAGTACAGGAACAGGTCAGAGTTTGAGGAGCAACAGGTCAGAGAAAAGTTTGTTTTGTGATWTTTCTGCGGTCCACAGATGTGCACCATTAAGATCCAAAGCTGCTCTGAACAAAACAAACGCTCCAYTTTCTCCAACACTTGTTTCCTCGAGTGCAAATGACACGACTGACTGTCCACGAAGGCATCGTGTTTAACGAGCCGGTCCGGACCGGGTCTCCTCCATCAGGCACTTCACCAGCAGCTGGGAGCTCCAGAACCAGCGCAGGGATCTGTCAGGTCCTGGAGAACCTCCTCTCTTGGCACATTACAGATCCAGGCAGAAGTTTGGATCCATCGACCCGTCACATCCGTCAGAACCAGAGTCTGTTAGAGGTCCACGTCTCAGGGTCCGGTCYGCTCACATGAAGGAGTGATCTGCCGGGGGTCCGTAGGAGAAGCCTGGGAAGGCTGCGGCTGCTTCCTTCAGGCTGCTGGTCACCATGGCCGTGTCACTGCAGAGGGACGAGGACACCGGCAGGTGGGTGAACTCCGGGTCGAAGTGTCGCAGGTCTGTGGGACCGGACTGAGAGGAGACAGGAGACAAGATCAGAACCTGCAGGAGGACTTCTGACAGCTGGATCAGAATAAAACTCTACTCTTTAGCTTCACATTCACTAAATTCATTAAATAACGAGATTTTTTTATCCCTTTCTTCAAAGTCACAAGTTTCCTTCAAAGGTTCTGAGTCCTGACCCGTTCCTCCTGAGAGAAGCGGGTCAGATTTGGTACCTGYTCAGCTCTAGGACAGATGTTCTGTCTTTAAAGTGCCTGTGACGTGTATGTCCTTCAGATACAGAAAGTCAAAGAAAACAACTTGATATTTAAGAAACTTTGAATAAATCACATGATTTTACTCAGCTTGTCTCATAAATCACATATTTTCTTTTGAACTTGGCTCAGATAAAGTGAAACAGGAAGTGACATCACAGGGGAACTCTTTATGAACAATATTTAAACTTTAACTCTTCTTCAGCTCTGATAGAGACTCAATAATCTACAGAAACATCAGATTCTTCTCCACAGTCTGTTAGCTAATGTAGCAACGCCCTGTTTACATGCAGACATTCCCCTATGACATCACTTCCTGTTTCTTCACAGGCAAATATCTCAACAGCTGTTCATCTCAGCAGTGTGAAATTAGTTTTGCATTATGTTATTAATGTTATCTTTCCAAAAATGTGTTCATGTTTATTACAAAAATTTGACATCACAGGCACTTTAAATGCATCAACAGGTGAGTCAGCTGACCAATCAGAAGCCTGTAAAGCCATGACATCATCATCATTTAGAGGCAGGGTGTACGTAAACTTGTGACAGTGAAGAACAGAAGCAGATGTTTTCACCGAGCCCCCCTGAACGCACCACGGAGGGGATGAACGGAGGGGTGATCTTCTTGGCCATCAGGTCGTCCCAGCTGATCGGGGAGAAGAAGGAGTGGTACTTCAGCTCCAGCTGCAGGGAAACAGAACCACGGTGAGCGGACCGGCAGGTTCTGAGCGTGCAGCAGAAACGGCAGAGCAAATCACTTACGAAGTCGTCCCGGGCTCCGAGCCGCTTGGACCGGTCCTTCTGCAGCAGCCCCTCCAGCAGCTCCCTGCCGGCGTTGGACACGTTGGGCTTCAGGACCGGAGCTTTGTGCAGGATGTTGCTGTACATCTCGGCCGTGTTGCGGCTGTAGAACGGAGGCTGAGGGAGAACAGAACCGGATCAAACGGACCTCATCACATCTGAGCAGACATCAAAGGTTAACGAGCTCACTTACAAGTCCGTAGAGCATCTCGTAGAGCACGGAGCCCAGGCACCACCAGTCCACCGTGCRGTCGTACGCCTGCTTCTGCAGAACCTCAGGAGCTAAATACTGCAGAGAGGACAGGAACATCAGCGCAGGTCCAGAACCTCCAACGGTTCCTCAGGACTTCCTGCTCCTCAGCCTACCTCAGGTGTTCCACAGAACGTGGTTGTGGTTCCGTTGGGCTCCAAGCCTTCTTTGCAGAGTCCAAAGTCAGTCAGGACAATGTGACCCTGTGAGTCCAGCAGGATGTTCTCCGGCTTCAGGTCCCTGCAGGAGACAAGATTATTGTCATGTTGTTGTGTGTCCAGCAGGGGGAGCTGCAGGATTATTGTCATGTTGTTGTGTGTCCAGCAGGGGGCGCTGCAGGATTATTGTCATGTTGTTGTGTGTCCAGCAGGGGGAGCTGCAGGATTATTGTCATGTTGTTGTGTGTCCAGCAGGGGGCGCTGTATGGATTATTGTCATGTTGTTGTGTGTCCAGCAGGGGGAGCTGTATGGATTATTGTCATGTTGTTGTGTGTCCAGCAGGGGGAGCTGTATGGATTAATGTCATGTTGTTGTGTGTCCAGCAGGGGGATATTGTCATGTTGTTGTGTGTCCAGCAGGGGGAGCTGCAGGATTAATGTCATGTTGTTGTGTGTCCAGCAGGGGGAGCTGTATGGATTATTGTCATGTTGTTGTGTGTCCAGCAGGGGGAGCTGTATGGATTAATGTCATGT